TGAGACGAAGCCTCAAGCTATCCCCCTGGGTAGAGTGCCATGGCATCATGCTCACAGCAACCTCCAACTCCTGGGCTCAAACGAGTCTCCTGCCTCAGCCTCCCAAGCAGCTGGGACTACAGGCGCCTGCCACAACGCCTGGCCATTTTTTGGTTGCAGCCATCATTGTTATTTGGCGGGCCCGGGCTGGGGATTCGAGCCCGCCACCTTAGGTGTATGTGGCTGGCGCCTTAGCCGCTTGAGCCACAGGCGCCGAGCTGTACATGATTTTTCAACCTCAGCATTACTGACATTTTGAACTGGAAAATTTTTTGGTCTTGGGTGCTGTCCTGTGCATTGTAGAAAGTTTAGCAGCACCCTGACCTCTATCCACTAAATACCAGTAACACACCAAACCTTTTCCCCTTCCACACTGGGACAACCAAAACTGTCTTTTGACATTGCCACATGTCCTTCTGGAGGTGAAATGACCCTAGGTTGAAAACTACTGATCTAGAGTTTATTATCACTGTTTATTTTCACAGTATTTATGGTTTATGGTGATCTTTCATTGATGGCAAGCAAATGGAGATGTATTCTAGATAATACCTGTTTTCCTTTTATTTAATATAATAATTTAAGCTAAAATGAGTGACTTAAGGAAAGATATTAAGCAAATAACGTGCCCTTTGAGTCCTTTCCCACTATTATTCTCTGTGTTATAGGCTTCATAGTCCCCTCTTTTCTAGGACCTTCTTGAAGCCTCCAACTTATTTCTCCTTGGCCTCCCCTTGCCGTCTCTTAGTTAACCCTCTTCCGCTTTTTCCTCCTCTGCCCCCAGAGGTGGATGTGACAGATTCTAGCAGCCCCCATCCTGAGGATCCCCTATTTCCAGGCTCTCCCTGGAGAAAGAAACTGAGGAGTAAAGATGAAGAAGAAGAGAAGAAAAAGAAGGTGTTTATGTGAGTGAGGCCAAGGAACTTGGGCCCTAGGATCAGGAAGGGAGTTGAGGGGTAAGTTAAGGTAGGCAGGACCCTTGGGTGGCTCCTGAAAGTGTAAGAAGGGATGGAAGGAGTTTTGAGGCTCAGGTGGGGAGTGAAGCTCTTAGGAGAAGAGGTGGCTCACACTGGGAATGATAGTGGACCCTTCAGGATCACCCATGGGAGTGAAGTCTGAGATGCTAGTAATTTGGGTTAAGGATATGGTTCTAATCCAGACAGCTGTCTCTTCCCTGTCTTCTCTGGGATTCTCTTTCCTTTTCTATAAAACGGGGGTAATAGTGACACCTATTTCCAAACATTGCTGAGTAGATCAAGACTTAACACTTATCGACAATAAGTGGTGGTCACTGGCTGGGTGTAGAGCCCTGTAATCCTAGGACTTTGGGAGGCTGAGGCAGCAGGATTGCTTGAGGCCAGGGGTTTGAGGCTGTGGTGAGCTATGATGATACCACTGCACTCTAGCATGGGAGAGAGTGATACCATGTCTCAAAAAGAAAAAAAAAAAACACCCTAAAACAGTTAAGTGCTCACTGTCTTCTGGATGTTCACCTAGAAAGTGACTTATCTTAAAAATGAGGCATTTTCCTCCATAATATTTGGGTCATGTAAATATAAAAATGTTTCAGGCTGGCTTGGCACCCCTAGCTCAGTGATTAGGGTACCAGCCACATATACCGGGTCTGGCAGGTTCAAACCAGCCTGGGCCTGCTAAACAACGATGACAACTATAACAACAACAAAAATAGCCAGACGTTGTAGCAGGTGCTTGTGGTCCCAGCTACTTGGTAGGCTGAGGCAAGAGAATGCTTGAGCCTAAGAGTTTGAGGTTGCTGTGAGCTGTGACGCCATGGCACTCTACCAAGGGTGACATAATGAGACTGTCTCAAAAAAAAAAAAAAGTCTCAGGCTTTTCCTGTCCCTATGTACTCTTGTCTTCCAATAAAATGGATATTACCAGAAGGTACTATTTTTTTTTTTTTTTGAGACAGTGTCTCACTTTGTCGCCCTAGTTAGAGTGTTGTGGCGTTGTCACAGTGACCTCAAACTCTTGGCTTTAAGCGATCCTTTTGCCTCAGCCTCCGGAGCAGCTGGGACCTACAGGTTCCTGCCACAATGCCCAGCTAATTTTAGAGATAGGGGTCTCACTTTTGCTCAGGCTGGTCTCCCAACTCCTGAGCTCAGGCAATCCACCTGCCTTGATCTTCAGAGTGCTAGGATTACAGGCGTGAACCACCATGCCGGGCATTGCTCCCTTCTTGATTCTCTAGCTCCCCCCCTGGTTCCTATGGGTCCATAGCCCATGAAAACAAGTGAGGCCAAGGTCTCTCCTTTGCTTCCATCCTTTCCCTGTCTTCTGTCAACAGGGAACAAGACATCTCTCCATTACCCGCACCTCCACCAAGGACCAAGAGCAGGAAGCATACTCGGGCACTCCAGAAGTTAAGGTGTCAAGTGAAGGGGCTGTAGCTGGGATGGAAGGGGGTGAGTGGGTGGCTGACTCCAGCTGACCGAAAATCCTGTCTGCATCCAAGGGAGGTAAACAAGCGCCTCCAAGATCTCCGTTCCTGTCTGAGCCCCAAGCAGCAGCAGGGCCAAGACCATGAAAGCCCAGAGGATGAGGTGGTCCTAGTGGAGGGCCCTCTCCTCTCAGAGACACCCCGACTCCTCCCACTCAAAATCAGATGCCGGGCTGACCTTGTCAGATTGCCTGTCAGAATGGTGAGTATCAGGGCTGGGCGTGGTAGCTCACACCTGTAATCCTAGCACTCTGGGAGACCGAGGTTGGGTGGATCTCTTGAGCTCAGGAGTTTGAAACCAGCTTGAGCACGAGACCCTGAAAAATAGCCAAGTATTATGGTGGGCACCTGTAGTCCCAGCTACTTAAGAGACTGAGGCAAGAGGATTACTTGAGCTCAAGAGTTTGAGGTTGCTGTGAGCTGTGATAGAACATCACTTAACTAAGGGCAACAAAATGCTTGTCTCTAAAAAAAAAAAAAAAAGGCGGTGCCTGTGGCTCAAAGGAGCACCGGCCCCATGTGCTAGAGGTGGCAGGTTCAAACCCAGCCGAGGCCAAAAACTGCAAAAAAAAAAAAAAAAGGTGAGTGCCTGAGGCCCATGAGAGAAGGACCCAGGAGCTGCCTTTGGAGAGACTGTGGTGTCCAGCAGGGATGTGATAGGAAAGGAACCGCGCTCTCCTTTTCCCTGCTCTCTGAGCTACCCAGCACTCCCATTGCCTCTGTGCCTGCCATTCCCCCTGCCTGTATTTTTCCCCTCACTTTCCCCTGTTTTTCTGGCAAACTTCCTGTCTATTCTTCAAAGTTTTGCTTAAGCATCCTGCCCCCTAAGAAGCTTTTTTTGGGTAGTGATCCCCAGAGGGAGTCCTTTCTTTTCCTCCCTAGGATCCTAAGCCTGTCCTTACTCTAACTGCATTGGACACGGCAGATGTCACTCAGTCATCCTGAGCTCCCACAGCTTCTTGGCAAAGGCTGATATTTTTGTAGGGATGGCCCTGGTTCAACACCAAGAATAACAGAAAATACCATATATTGAACACTAACCATACATCTGTCAAGCAACTAAGCCTAAGGTTGCAGATGGGTAGCCAATGGCCTTCTCAACCATGCATCTCCTTTCATTGTGCTATAGAGTGCTTTTGAAATACATGAGTTTGTTACCAGCCTTTGGAGTAGGGGTGACTTCGTACAAAGGTCCAGGTTTCTAGCTTCTCTTAAAAATATGAAGATACAGTCTCACTGGCTCCCACATGGTACGAATCTGCTGGAGCTCTGTTTAAATGGGGCATGTGGGTTCCAGTTTGCTGTAATTCCTACCACTCCTTTTTTTCCCTCCTAACCTGTGGTTTTCTTATTTCTTTGTGTTACTTTCCTGAGCCCCTTTCTGACACAGTTTTATTCTGTCTTGCCAGGTAAATATGATGAAACTCACAGCTGAGGAGCTCAGCAAGTAGCTAAGGCCAGAAACTTGTGTTTGGGGTGGTGGTGTGGGAGTGAGTGGGGTGGAGAATGTCAAGGCAGGAAGGCCTCCTTCTCTTCTTGTCCCTATCCCTAGTCAGAGCCCCTGCAGAGTGTGGTGGACCACATGGCCAGCCATCTTGGGGTGTCCCCAAGCAGGATCCTCTTGCTTTTTGGAGAGACAGAGCTATCTCCCTCGGCCACCCCCAGGACTCTAAGACTTGGAGTGGCTGACATCATTGGTGAGAGGAAGGCAGGGAGGTGGGGCTTGAGGCTTTCCCAGGGGAAGAGGATATGGGGAAAGGTCCAGAGGGAGCCTAGAATTCAAACCCCCCCTCCCCCACTTAGGCCTGGCTTCTCCCTACTGCCTCCCACAGACTGTGTGGTGCTAGCAAGTTCTCCGGAGGCCACAGAGACATCCCAGCAGCTTCAGCTCCGTGTGCAAGGAAAAGAGAAACACCAGATGCTGGAGGTCTCACTGTCTCGAGTAAGTGGAATAAATGGTTCCCCATCCCCTACACCCTTTCCTCTGTTGTCTGTTTTCCTTCTATATTGTCAGTTAATGGAGGATGGATTCCTCTTTTTTTTTTTTTTT